CCGGCGCGTGGAGGAAAGCCAACCAATCAAGCGCTGCCAATTTCGCGCCGGAAGAGAGCCACCTCATTGGCCAGTGGTCATCACTTCACTCTTTGTAAAAATAAAATCGTATTTTCGTCTCTGAGTATTTATGCGAATTATTTTGCATCGACGGGTCGCTGCGTTTCGGCCTCTCTGCGGGATGGGCCGACCCCGTCGGTAGTGCCTCGTCCGACAAATAGCCGGCCCCCCCCCCCCCCCCCCCCGCCTCTCCGGCCTCCCGCAACTATTTCAAAGACCTGAAAGAGACCCTTGTATAACCAAGTCCAAGCCCCAAAGCTGTGCTCTCCACATTCTGCGCCGTGAAAGGCCATTTGTAAGGCCCGGCCCCCACAGGCGCGGCACGGCGTGGCACGGCGTGGCACGGCACGGCCAGGCATGCCGGGAACATCTTACATTTTCCAAAGGACGGCCGGTGGCGCGACTTGGCGAGCAGGGCAGGGCGGGGTGCCCCGCCACCGCGCCCCCGCGCAGCCAGGAATCAGCTTCTAGGAGACACTGTGCGGAATAAATTTAATTTCCCAAACTCGCCTTAACATTTTATTTTTTGAGTCGCGTGTGCGGTTTTTAAAAGTCACCATACATTTTTTGTGAGTTTTTTTTTTGGACAGAGGGAGGGGGGTTGTTGTTTTTAAAAAATGTTACCATTTTTTTTCAGTGTCTCCTTTTGCTACTGCCCCTGCCTGATCTTTCCCCTCAATCTGGCTGCATCCTAATCCCTGCTGCCCCTCCTCCTTCTCCTCCTCCATCTTCTTCTCCTTCTGCTCCTTTGGTCCGTCTCGCCGTAATCAGCACGGGTCCTCCTTTGTGGCGCGGCATACTTTTGACACGATCGCGTGTCCCGCCGTGCCGTGCCGTGCCGTGGCGTGCCCCCTAAGCCTTTCTGAGCCTCCCTGCTCCTTGTCCTGGGGTTTTATTCGCGCCTTCGTGACCATTTTCGCCTCGATTCGGAGGGGCCTTGCGGGCCTTGCGTCTTGAGGCTCGAGGCCGGCAGCGCGACAACTCATTCCAACTTGACGCGCCTTGTGTCCTTCTGGTGGCGTGCCGTCCGTCTGTCTGTCCGTCCGTCCGCCCGGCGCTGCGGTTTTGCGCGGCAGAGGGCGCTGCTAACTTTTGCCGGGCCGAGGCGGAAGTGGAGACGAAGTGACGAAGTGACGAGGCCGTCGCCGCCGCCCCGCACCGGCCGCCCGCCGCGCCGACCCCAGCCTCGCCCGTCTCGCTCCGTCTCTCTCGCACTCGTGTCATGGCGCCTCGCGCGGCTGCGAGTGCGAGAGAGACGCCAGATCAGTCTCTGCCACCGGTCTCCTTTTGCAAAGACAAGACCCTTTCAAAAAAGAAGCGGCGTAAAAAAATAAATGAAGAGCGACAGTGCAGATGGCGGGTGGGCGTGTGGGACGGCTCGTGAGTTGTGTACCTGTCGGCCAGGTGTGGCCGGGCCGAGCTGGCAGCTCGCTCATTAGCAGTGGGATCGGTGGCTCCGGAAGGAAGGCGAGCGTCTGTCTGTCTGTCCGTCCGTCTGTCCGCCCGTCCGTCGCCAAGGTGCGCGCGGGCGGCCGGGGCGGTATTATTAGGAATTCTTGTGGATTTAGTGGGCGATCGTGACCAGAATGTGGCGGGCCGGCGGTGCGCGTTACAAGGGTTGCGACTCGGCACGTGGCGCGCGGGGAGCCCTCGCGGGGAGCCCTCGTGGGGTGGGGGCTGGCTGGCGGCGCCGCCGGGGCCCCCGGCACACTCTGTCTCTCTCGCACTCGTGGGCGCGCCGTACCGGTGCGAGGGAGACGGAGCGACGAAAACGACTCTCTCGGAATCAGTCTGCTGGGCGCCCCGTGGGGTGCACGACGCTACGACACTCTAATGAATGCCTCCCCCGCCTGCAGGTGTCCCCCCCCCCCCGCCTCCTCATCGCAAGCAGCGCATTCCTTTGCTTATGGCGACCCGGTCCCGGTAGTGCCCGGGACTATATGAAGCAGGAGGGTCGTGGGTTCAAATACCAGGCGTTCCGTCCCGCCACCCTCGCCCGTCTCTCTCTCTCTCCATTCATTTACTTTTATTTTTTCTTCGCTGCGCGTGTGCGTATTAACACGTGCGTGTGCCTTTCTGACTGATAATCCCGTTGGCTGGCCACCGCCACTATAATACGTTTTATTCGCTTCCTACGACTAGTTCATGTTTTTGTTGTTGTTGCTGCTGCGTGTGTTTCGCGTGCCGACCTTTGCCCGGGACTACTATACGGGATCCCCTGCCGACCACTGCGTACTGGCCCGAATAGAACAGCGCGGGCGGGGCGCTGCCTGGGCCTGGACATGTTCATTCGGAAGTAATATGTACGAGCTCTTTTGTGCGTGCGTGTGTGTGTAGGAGAGAGACTCTGTCCTGGCCGATAGGCGGCTCGTTGTTTGCAAAGACCTGGCTGTGCTGCCGCTGCTTGGCTGCTTCTGTGCGTCCAGAGTCTGGTCCAGCCAGGGTGGCGCTGCTCCTCGTGGCGTCCTCCGCCTCCCTCGGCCCTCTGCCCTTCGCCCTACGCAATACACGCATTGTGGGACGGCGGGAAGCAATAATGAAGTAGGGCGCAGGCCAGGCCCTGGGCAGGGCTGGGCAGGCCGGCAGGGCTGACCCTCATCCAGGACGTCCAGCCGAGCGTCCAGCGGCCCGGCCCTCCTGATCCTTCCCCGGGGACGTGTCAAGGCGTCCGCCCGTCTCTCTCGCACCCCCTCGCGGGACGCCGCGCGAGTGCGAGAGAGACGCCGCGACATGCAAAAGCCACATGTGTCCCGCACCGTCCCCCACTTTCACCGTTCGGACGCACCGCCTCGGGTTCCCTGTTTGTTTTCTGCGCCGCTGCTGTTGTGCGCGGCCGGCGAGTACACTGGAAGTCCAGTCGGAGGGGCGGAGGGCAGGCAGAGGGGGTCCCTTTCTCATCGCACATTCCTGCGAGGATGACCCTTCCATTAAAGGGCCCCGCCCCGCCCCGCCCCGCCCCGCCCCGCCCCGCCCGCGGCGCACGGAGTCTTGTTGGCAATTCATTTGAAAGCGCAAGTCACACGCGATGCCCTGCCGGCCGCGCTGGCCGTGCTGGCAGTGTAGCGGAGCGGCGAGGGGCACGGTGTGCGCACGCCATGGCCATGCACAGTGGACGAACGCCTGAAGGGTGTGCCGGCTGCGCGAGCGCGACACGACGCGCCTTGTTCGCCATGCCCGGCCCGGCTACCCCGGGGGGGGGTTTTTTGGCCCGCCTGCTTGCGCAAAAGGAAAGGGAAAAAAATTTGCCGGATTTTCGGAAATTAAAATCGAAGGGGCTGTTTGCGTTTGCGCAAAAAAAACCCCTGCCCGGATTTCCCCGAATCAATTTGATTGAAAATTTTGGAAGGGGGCCCCCCTGTTTGGTTTGGGCAAAAAAATGGACCCAAACACACCTGGGCCAGGGAAAATGGTACCGCCGGGTTCCCAAGGCGGTTCTTTTGGAAAAATGGCCCTTTTTCCCATGATGGTGGAACCCAAAGGCGGTACTTTGGGCGGGGAAACAGTGCTATGGCCCTGCTTCCTTTTTCATTTTTTTTTCCCAGTGTTTTCTTTTATGCTGACATTAATCTTTTGCCCCCCCCCTCCTTTCCTCTCCACCCTCTTTCATTGGCCCTGCCTTTTATTGTGTCTGAAAACAGTCATTTCCGTCAGGTCCAGCAGCCAAGTCGGCCACGTCCGTCCGCGCCAATCGGGGCAGAGCGCAGCAGAGCGGCGCCCTAGTTTTGAATTTGAAGTGTCCGTCTGAAACGGCCAACTACCTGGCCTTGATTGGTGGTGGCGGTGGTGGTGGTGGGGAGCGCCGTGAAAGGGGGTCCGCGCGGCAGACGGCCCGCCCCGCCCCGCCCCGCCGCCCGCCCCGCCCCGCCCGCCTTGCCGGCCTCTGCCTGCCTCCGGCTCCAATTACCTGCAGTTTACTGTCGCTGTCTCGCTGCGACTGCGAATAGTGGCTTTGGGTCCGGTCGTGTTCTGCGGATAAAGCCCTGCGAGGTCCCCGGGGGCCGCCGGCGGGGTCGTCGGGGTGGCCCCGGGGCCCGGGGGCGGGGGTAGGTAGGGGGTCTGGCGGACGCTAACTTGACCTCATTGTGCTGCTTGCCAGGTGATAATAAGACGGGGGTGGGCCGGCGGCGGCGTGCGGGTCGCTCTCTGTCTCGCTCGCACTCGCTGCGCGGTGCACCGGGGCCTTTCTCTCTCCCTCCCCCAGTCCCGTCACGTGCGGCGGCACACAGGGGCCCCGCTAATCGTATATGTCCGCAGCGTAAACAGACTCGCACACACACATTTTCACAAACACACGTGCAGTCCGCGGAAACGTGAGAGTAACCCTCGTCGGACGGGGCGTGCCCAGGCGTGCCTGCCTCGGCCCGCCCTGGCAGTGGCGCGGTGAATGAACGCTAGCCGACCCGATCGGGAGGCCTGGTGGTGGGAAGGGTACCGGGCACGGGTGCGGGGTGGGGCCTTATGAAATTTGCAGGCACTTTCGCCGGGCTCCTTTTCGCGACCGCCGCCTCCACGGCGCTCCACGGCGCGCGGTACTTTGGAATTTCAAGTTTGGAGCTTGGGGTGCATAACCGTGCGCAAGGCCCAGCCCGAGGCCCAGCCGTGACTGCTGGCACCTGCCTATCGGAGAGAGGCGCTCCAAGTATGCGGGTCGCTGGCCTGCCTGCCGCGCGAGGCGCGTCGCGAGGCCCTCAACGCCGTGCTGGCCGGGCCGGCCCGCCGCGCAGCCCTGTGGAGCGCGTGGCCTACCCTCCGCTTCGCAGGCGCTCCCCGCCCGCCAGCGCGCCGCAGCGTCCGTCGCTGTCTCTCTACCACGCCGATGTTGTTGTTGCTGCTGCCTCTCTAACCCCCGGGTGTTGTTGTTTTTGACCTCTGTCTGTCTACCGCGCCGATGTTGTTGTTGCTGCTGCCTCTCTAACCCCCTGGTGTTGTTGTTGTTGCAGGCACAAGCGGAAGATGCAGAGCTTCCTGCCCTGCAAGACGTCGCCGGCGCCGCGCTGCGAGGCCAACGGCAACACCGTCATCTACGAGGACCTCACCAACATGCGGCCTCGGCTCGGCCTCAGCCAGGCGCTCGGCCCCGGCCTCGGACTGGGGCCGCGGCCCAACGCCAGGCCTCTGCCCCGGCCCGGACCCCCCATGGAGGTGGGCCATCTCTCTCTCTCTCTCTCTCTCTCTCTCTCTCTCTCTCTCTCTCTCTCTCTCTCTCTCTCTCTCTCTCTCTCTCTCTCTCTCTCTCTCTCCTCTCTCCTCCGCGGCGAAGCGATTGTTTGAGGAGCGGCGGAATCGGCGGCCAAAATGGCGGCGTTCTCTCTCACATTTCTCGGTCCGCGTTCCGCGTCAAAGGGCGGCAGAATTATTAGTCGCGATAAAGAAAGGGGATTTAGTGTGGCGTTAATAACGAGTGGGAGAGAGAGCGGGGAGGGGCGTTGTATCGCTCGAACGCATTCCGGTTCGCTTGCCGCCTTCGGCGGACTCTCCTCTTTCCTTTGACAGTGTCGTCATTGTCGTTTGTTGCTGTTATTTTTAACGTGTGGGAGACGTGGTTTTTACGGGTAGGACCTCGGGGCCGGGCTGGCTACGCGCTGTAGTGCGCCGAGTGAGACGGCGAGGACGGCGGCACGCTGCTGTGCGAGAGAGAAGGCAGATGCCTCGCGCAGTAGCGCAGCGCAGCCCGGCAGCAAGGAGGAAAGGGACGAATTGTTTTCTGTTTTGTTTGGATTGCTCGGGCGGGACTGCTGACTGGATTCCGAGGCGTGGCGCTGCCTCTCTCGCACTCGCGGCGCGTTGCGTGGGGGGCGAGAGGGACGGCCGGCGGGCCGGACCGGGCACACGGCGGCAGGGGAAATCCGTCATGCGTTCTCTCTCGGCGTTGCCTCTCAATTCGCCCGGGCAGCGTAGCAGCGGCGCAGCTTCCGTGTTGATCGAAGAGACGGCGGCCCCGGCCAGGCCAGCGCGCTCCAGGCTCCAGTCCAGGCTCCAGCGCGTCCAGTTTCGAGGCCAGCCGGGCCCAGCTGGACGTGGCTATTTGAAGCAGGCCGGTGCCGAGATTGGGCCCATCGGGGTGGGGCGGGGCGGGGCGGCCCCTCGCCCTCCTCGTCCTCGTCGACGTCGAGTAGAAATCGAGGAGGGCTCAGTCGAGTATGTAGGCCTGATAAGACCCCCCTCCCCTCCCCTTCGCAGCAGAACGAGCCTCTGGCCGGACGCCCGCCGCGGTTCGAGGTCGGAGTCCACGCGTCCGCACCGCGTCGCGTGCGAGTCCCTGGTGGGTGTTGTGCATGCGCCGCGGCATGTGCCCTGCATTCGCGAGTCGGCGTCCAAAGCGGAAGGACTTTGTTTCCCTGTGAGTGAGTCGGGATGGGGAGGGAGAGGGGGAGGGGGAGGCTGGACTCGGCGTATCGGCGTGCCGGACCCCCGACTGAACCAAGGACGGTGCTGCCCGGGGCGTGCATGGCTACCCTCCGGCATTCCGTCGTGGTCACGGTCACAGTGGTGGAGTGGAGTGGATCCCTCGCTTTCTCTCTCTCTCTCTCTCTCCTCTCTCTCTCTCTCTCTCTCTCTCTCTCTCTCTCTCTCTCTCTTTCTCGGACTCTGTCGTGTCCACTGGCCGATGTTAATTGAAACTCGCTGAAGACGCTCGCACGCGCTGGGCTTCGGCTTCGGTCGGGGTTTAGTTTTCCGTCGGCCTTTCTAGCCGAGCCAAGCCGAGCCGAGAGTGGAGCGAGGTTCTGGGAATACTAACCACGGCCGCTCGGCTAGTCCAAGGCCCGGGCCAGGGCGCCTCTAGGCCCGCCCGGCCCGCCCGGCCAGCGCTGGAATTGCGGTGGCCGCCTCCGACCCCCTCGCAGGCTGTCTGTGTCTCCCTCACTCGTACGGGACGCCGCGTGGCTGCGAGAGAGACGGAGAGCACTACCACCACGCTAAGCGACGGATAGACGGACACCATACTACGCTCTTGCCGACGCGGCCGCAACTTTCAGACGGATTTTCAAATCGCGCGCGCGGATTAAGATGTAAAGCGCGCATCGCGAGTTTCGAGTTTGGCGTTCGAGGGTCCACGCCGCGGTCCGGCGCGGCCGAGCCGGGAGCCCGTCAACGACGACGTGGTGACGTCAGCGCTCCATTCAAAGCGAACGGCGACGCAGCGAGCGGTCCATCAGGCTGACAGGGCGGCCGGTCGCGGGGCCTCGGCACACAGTGTGTGTGTGCACGAGAGAGAGAGAGAGAGAGAGAGAGAGAGAGAGAGAGAGAGAGAGAGAGAGAGCGGCATGTTTCCCCCGGGGGACGCTGTCGTGGTGGGGTGGCGTGGAGGGGCTTTACCCAAAGTCCAGGTCCTCCAGGTGCAGCAGGGTGTAGTCTCTGCAGCTGTTGCACGGGGCCCGACCCCGCCTTGCTCGGCTCCACGCTGCCTTGCTTGAGCGTTACGGGCGTGGCGCTGCCTGAGCCTCGCCGAACTTGCCGCGTCGAGACGACTTGCAGCGGCTTGTATCGGCTCCGGCCCTCCGGCCGGGCTGCGGCCGTGCCCTGGGCGCCCTGGGCCAGGCTGCACCTGTGACTCTGGCTACGGTCACACGCACACACACACTCACACGGGTACGCTAAACTTGGCGCACTCGAGCGGGTTCCCGGGAAACACCACGTGTGTGCGTCTGTGTATGTGTGTGTGTGTCGTACTTACAAGCACCGACTCGGCCGTCCCGCTTTTATGGCCTTTGCATTGCACAATGGTGTACTTGGGACACTCTTTGGACGGTACTCGCGCGCGCTGTGTCGTCTGAGCGCCCGGTAGTTAGGCAAGAAGTCACCCCCACCCTCTCTTACTCACACACACACACACACACGGAACTGTCCTTCCTCGAAGTCAGCGCGGCGGGCTCGAGTAGCAGTACCCGCCAAGTGGCGTGGGTACTCCGACGACGGCCGGTTCGTGCCGAGAGGCAGCATGGCGTACAGCATGGCGGGGAGCATGGAGGAGCGGCGGACGTGATTGTCGGCGGAACACGGCCACACTTGGCTCGGCCGGCCAGTGGACCACCACACTGGCGGCAAGTCCGGGGCCGAGCCGTCCGGGGCCACTTGTTGCAGCCGCCACATTGGCCATGCCGCGGCCCACAATGAGCAGCCCCGCTCCTCTCTCTCTCTCTCTCTCCCGCACAGCGACGGCCAGGGCCGCCGTCTCTCTCGCACACCGAGTGCCGGCCGCGCGGGCCGCGCGCAGTCGGTACCGTGTTGTGTTTCACGTGACGGGACGGCGCGGTGCGGGTCGGCCACCCTCTCCGTCAGGCGCGCCCCGCCTCGCCACGCCCCGCCGCGCCCCGCACTCGGTGCTGTTTGTTAGTTCTCTATTGGTAAAGTTGGCCCTCTTGCTGCCGTGAGGGTGGGAGGGGGCGTCGCAATTTGTTGGCTCTGCGAATAATGCATTCCGTCTCCGAACAGGAGTCCCGCTGTTTGTTGTTGTTGTTGACGGGGGCCTTTTGTTGTTGTTGCAGATGCTGACGGTGGACGGGCCGTACCCGCTGGGCCACGGCCAGGGCCACGGCCAGGGCCTCGGTGTCCGCGGCGTGCCGCCCTCCGTCTACATGCTGGGCAACGGTCGCGCGGGGCCGGCCGGTCCCGGGCCCGTCGGCGAGGAGGCCGACCTGGACCTGTACAACCCCGTGTACGAGGAGCTGTCCGGGTCGCGGCCGGGCTCCGAGGAGGAGGACGAGGACGAGTCGGACTGCGTGGCGGGCCTGGGGCCCGGACGGCCCGGCCGCGGCCGCCGGCGGTCCCTGACCGGCCCCGCCAGCGAGGACGAGTTCGCCGAGGACGAGCTGAGCGTCGGCGAGGGCGACCGCGTCGCCGCGGAGCGGCTGGCGGCGGAGCAGCGGTGCGCGGCGCCGCAGCCCAACGGCGGCGACCTCTGCAGGGACGTGGACTCGTCCGACGCCGACGACCGGAGAGGGTGGGTACACTGCAACCGAACTTTCTTTAAGCGTAGTTGTCCGACTGTCCCTCTGACGGCGCCCGCTTGCTTCCGCTTGCCCTCCAGGTTCCTGACGCAGAGGGTGCCGCGCAGCCACAGCTCGGCGTCCGACCCGCGGCGCGGCAGGTCTCTGGACCGGCGGCGCGGCCGTCGCCACCTGCAGCAGCAGCAACAGCAGCTTCAGGCGCTGCAGATGAAGCAGGCCGGCAGGACGGCCGTCGCGGAGGGCTCCGACTTCCACGAGGGCATGCTGCTGGACACGCTGCTGCAGATGTACCCCAGCCACGGCCCCGGCCACGCCACCAACCACGCCGCCAACCACGCCGCCAGCCACGCCGCCAGCCACGGCGGCAGGCAGACGACGAGGCCGCCGGCGAGAGGCCCGGGCAGGGGGTCGCTCCGAGGCCAGCAGGCACCGCCGCCCGTGCCCGCAGTGGCGCACAGGTAAGGCCCGGCCGCAAAAAAAAATCCAACCGAGGTTTCGAACCCGCGGCCATCCATTAACCTGCCCTTCTCTGCGTTCCAGGCTGCCGTACCTGCTGCCGCCGCCCGCGCAGCACGCGCACGCCTCCAACCAGCAGGCGCACCTGTACGAGAGCCCCGGGCTGGTGAACCCCTACGAGTCGGTGCCCGTGCTGGGCCAGCTCCAGCAGATGCAGCAAATGCAGCAGATGCAGCAGATGCAGCACATGTCCACCTTCCGGCCCAGCGCCAGCCACGACTCCGACTCCGGCTACAGCAACAACACCTCCGGCGGCCGCGGCTCCGGGTCCGGACACAGTTCCGGGCGCAGTCGCGACCCGCACTCGCGGCTGTCCGCGCTGTCCGACGACATGGTGCTGTCCTAGATGCTGGGGGCTGTTTTTCTAGCTCTAGTCACGGTAGGCCCGCGAGGCCGCGAGGTCGCCGCGAGGGCTCAGGGGCTCGAGGTCGACGCCACACGCCCCGTTCCACCAACCCGAGACGTCAGGGTGCTGTGCCTCTAGAGCGGTGGCAGTGGCAACCTTTACGCATAGAGCAAAAAGAAGTCCTAAATTGTTTTTACAATGAGCAAGGTTGTTACCGACACTGTTTGGGAGGAGGTCTCCGAAAACTAGACGTTAGAGACTGGTAGACTTTGTTTTCATCTTTCACGTCAAATTTTTTATTCTTAAAAAAAATGCTAGAAATGTGTTAATTATTGTTGTGGACTTTTGCGCCGTTTTCGCAACTCGGGATGGCATCAATCAAACATCGGGTCGGTGGATTTGAAGATCGAGACGGCGTCTGATTGGGCTTGTTTCGGGCTGGCGTGGGTGGAGTGAGTGAGAGTGTGCCGTCGACCTGTATGTGTGTGTGTGTCTGTGTGTGTGCCGTTGTGGCGATGTGTGATGTACCCGAGACCAAAGAAGGATATATCGGCGTGAGAGTGCTGCGGCGTCTGGATGTAGAGGTGTTGAATTTTGTATATTTTTGTGCAACTTGGGTGTCGTGTCAGCGCGACTCGGAGCGTGCTGCGAAGTCTGTGATCTCTTATATTCTTCCCTTGTTCCCTTGGGGTGGGATACTTTACGCTCACTGTTAGAGGAGCATTTCCGTCGTACACTTGTTTCTTTTGTCTTTAGTTCTTTTTTATTTTTGTTTTGTTGTTTGAAACCACCCCCTCCCTTTTCCCTCACTTAAATTAAGGGTACTTCTGTGCTCAGATGCTAGTTATAGTTTATGTAGAGCATATCTCGAGGTATGCCCATTTTGTTGTTACCATACCCAAGAAACGCATACCTTCCTTCTCTATGTCAGTGTTTGGTTTCACTCTGTTGATGATATAGTCAGATGCAAGAAATGATTTTATTGGTGCTCGATTAGACTACACGGTGATTAAAATGCAATTGAACTGTCGCCTCATGAGTTCGGCACCCTCCACTTTTCTAGGCGCATAGTTGATTATGTGGCCATACATTATATATTTTCCTCGTTGCTCAGAGTAATTATTGTAGAGTGCAATTCTGTGCTATGGAGTTGGTTTTATACAAATGCTGAGTAACTCTCTTAAAAATCATTATGTAATATATTTATTTTGGGTACAAACTACAAATGTGATCAGTCCTAATTCTTGTCCTTATTATATGTATATGTTATCCTTTTTTTTGCGATTTCTATAAGATTGCAGGCCTAAATTGTCTTGAGGCCATTTTGTTTCCAAAGTTAGACTGACAGTTCTGTTAATGTCTCTTTATTGAAATGTCAATCTCGAACAAAGCTGTTCAGTGGATGCTCTTAGCCACTATAAAATGTTATTTTTATTTCTTACATATTGATTTTTATTGATTTTCTTTTTAGGATGGAAACAAGATGGCTGTCTTTTGCTATTGTTTTTGTTTGTTACAAGTATTAGCTCCTTCAAAATGAAATTTTTTTCTAAATGTGCTTTATTTGTAAAAAAAAAATTGTTTGTAATGCATCACTGTAAATAGAACCATACAGATATTTTATTTGTAAAGTATTGTACTCTAACATTGTATATTAATAAGTATGTGAGCTAGTCCATATGTGAATAACCTAAAGCACTTGGTAAGGATATTTAAGGTAAATGTTTAATACTAGATAAGTTATTCCTTCACCTCAATAAACGTTTCTTACAAATTCCTTAAGTTTCATCATTTCTTATCCTGAACACTCCTAAGATTCTTTATTAAAACATAACATATTAACTATCAAAAATTTTGGGATTACTGCAGCCCAGTTCAATAGTACAGATATTTAAGCGGGCACGCAAAACAATGAGGAGATCTCAGATCAACATCAAGAAAGCCTGACTACCCAACATCCGTCCACCCCATAGTCACAGGACGACGGAAAACGTATCGAGACTTCCGTCAGTCGGTAGCCTTGCAAGGCGAACCCGGAGAGGTCGGGCCAGGATGTGGGATTCGAAGCAAGAGAGAGGGGGTAGGGGGAGAGAGAACAGAGCACCGCGGCTCCCTTTCCGACTTGACGGATGGGATAACTAACCTGCCTGCTGGCGCGCTGGCGCACTGGCACGCCGCTGGCTCGCTCCACCGCCTGCCTGCCCCGCCTGAGCAAGCTGTCTGCCAGCCCTGACTGCCGTGACGCATGTGTACACACACACGCGCGTGAGTGGCGTGGCGTGGCGGGGCGTTGCGGGGCGTGGCCTGCGTCGGAGGGAAACGCGGAGAATAGGCGTAATTTAAATGGATCATCTAATTCGCACCGCCGGTGGATGTGGAGTTGGAACGACTCGTGCCCCCACCGGGACTCTGTTGGCAGCCTCTTACACGTCGGCGACGGCGACGACTCCGCCGAAACTTATATCAAGGAAGTTGATCCTCTGCGGTCAGCCGGACTCGAAGTAAATCTCTAGGGCAAGGCAAGGGCCTGGACAGACGGACCCTTGGTCCGGGTGGACGGTGGGTTGCCTACCTCTCCGGCGCAGGCTCAAATAATTCCAGTTTTTGGCTAGAAAAAAGACTGTTTAGGGCCGAATTCATTCTCGAAAGAGTATCAGGAGTCATTAGGAGGACGACCCACGAGTGCGAGAGAGACCGAGAGAGGCCTCCCGCTCCGGAATCCGACTGCCGCGCCTTCAATCACTTTCCGTCTCCCTCACTCATTTCCGGTGATCATACCACAGCCTGGCCCCGGCCTGGCCCCGGCCTCCGCCACGCTGTCTCCCTCTCTCTCTAATATTCTCTCACTCAATCTGCCCCCTCATCGCGGAATACCCCACCGCCCTGCCAAAGTTTGCCGAGGCTTCGCCGAGTCTCATCCCCATTTCACGCGTATGAAACCCGCCCCGCCCCGCCCCGCCCCGCCCCGCCCCGCCCTAGAGTGGCGAGGCCGGGTTCCCCTGGGTTCCCCTGCGGCTTGCGGGGGAGGGAGGGGACGCGCCGGGAAGTCCCCAGCCGAGTCCAGTCCGGGTCAACCGCCAAAGTTGCGCGGGAGGAGAGAAAAAAAAAGGACAAAAAAAATCGGAAAAGAGGAGAAGGATTCCTTATCGCGCGGTGACGCGAAAAAGGGGATCAAATGGGATTCCCGGCGACCGGCGACTCTGGCGAGACCGTCGAGGACGTGGAGGTCCTCGCGGACGAGTAAATGGCCGCATCAGTCAACAGGCAGCCCGCCCAGCCCGCCCAGTCCGCCAGTCAGATGGGATTGCGGCCCTGAGCGGCGCGACTCGTGGCTCGGTGATTTGGCTGCGTGTTGAGAGGCGCCTCGTCTGCGCCACCTTGCTGGCAAGGATTGGCTGTCTCTCTTCTAGTAATCAGGAGCGGCCATGCAGACGCTCTCTCTTAAAAAAGAATTTTTTGTCGCCTCGGAGGGTAGTTTGGGAAGCGACGTGTCAGCCAGCCACCCTGCGGCAACTCCGCGCAACATTCGGAAATCACTTTCCTGTTATTGGCAAGCCCGCGACAGGTGTCCAGGGCCCTTGCGTCAAGGCCGGGCGGGTCGGTCTCTCTCGCACCCACGCGGAGCGCCCCCACGAGTGCGAGAGAGAGAGGGAGAGAGCGAGAGAGAGACGTCCCGCTCAGAATCAGTTTGCAGGGCAGGCAGCGCGGTCCCACGCGGGCAATATACCGAGCCTTGCGAACATCAGCCGGGCTTGGAGCGCTAAGACAGCCCAGCCTGCGGAGGGCGTAGTGGCGCAGCCGAGACGTAGCGCCCATAAATTTGCCGGAGCCACTGCTGTCACCTGGCAGGCCGTGGCAGGCAGTGGATGCCGCCAGAGAGCCCCCGATTAAAAAGCGGGCGCCGCTCTGCTCTCGACTGACTTTCCTCGCGCTGCCGTCAACGCCACCCACCTTTTGAGCCCGGGCTGCATGTTTTGAATGAAGCAGTCATTCGGAGTCGCAGTCGCCAGCTCGGTCCGGGCCGCGCGCCGTGGCGCTAGGCAACGCGCTGCCGCGCGCGTCGTGCGGGCCGGCCCATCCCACGCACCGCAGGGGCTTCGGGGCCTCGCCTAGAGAGCCTCGCCGCCGACCGAGACTCGCTTCCTGATCTGTACAAGAGTCTCTCACGCTCTGAAAATGAAACGAACGGATCCACCAACGGCAAAGCCAGAACTTTCGGTCACTCTCCGGCCAGTCACTTAACGAACTAAGGAAACTATCGATAGTTTGGGGAGCACAAGTGGCAAATTAGGTTCCTCTCGATGCTCGCCGTTCACGAGCTATTGGTCCTCGCGGTTTGGAATTTGGTCGTTCGCCGCTGACCCCTGTTGGGGTACGGTGCGGTGCATAATGGCCTCTGCGTTGCGGAAGGCCTGCAGCCCGGGAGGGTGCGTCTCTCTCTCTCTCTCTCTCTCTCTCTCTCTCTCTCTCTCTCTCTCTCTCTCTCTCTCTCTCTCTCTCTCTCTCTCTCTCTCTCCCGCACTTCTGGGAATGCCCGGGGCTGCCGTTGGGGCGCGAGAGAGACGCACGGCACTACTGGTGGCCCTCGGGGCGCGCTACGCCACTGGCCTAATATCCCATTGAGGGCGTCCGAACAGCGCTGTCTCTCTCGCACTCACTGGGCTACCCGCGGCGGTGCGAGAGAGACAACCTCGGCGCTGGCCTAATACGCCATTGGCGGACGCAAAGCACCGCGTCGCCGCTCGGCCACCGCGGTCCGGCTAGCCGGCCCGCCAATGGGAACGCCTTGCCGCCGTGGTCGCCCTCCAGGCCGACCCACTTGGAGACAGGAAATGTGCCAAAGTTTGGCTATTCTGGGAAGGCGGCTGCAGTGTGACCAACCGAGCGCCCTGACCTTGCCGTGCCTTGCCGGACCCGGGGCTGACTCAATAGCCATTGTGGCCCGAGGAGCGGCCCGAGCACCCCGAGGAGGCCATGGAGGCCGAGTCAGGGTCATTCCCCAAGAGCAATTAGCACAGAACGAGGACGGGAACTGAGGTATACTGTAGTGACTCTAAAGTATTCACTGTAAAGGCTGCGAATCAAGCGGCTTTCCCCCCGTCCGCGGCGCCATGCCAGGAGGATAAACAA